AACAGAGAGTGCAGTGCCCACTGCCCCTGCAACACAGTCTGCAGTGCCCAGCCCACCTTTCACAGAGAGTGCAGTGCCCACTGCCCCTGCAACACAGTCTGCAGTGCCCAGCCCACCTTTCACAGAGAGTGCAGTGCCCACTGCACCTTTATAGGGTGTGTAGTGCCCACTCCATCTTTATAGGGTGTGTAGTGCCCACTGCACCTTTTATAGGCTGTGTAATGCCCACTCCATCTTTACCAGTCTGTATAAGGCTCACTCCACCTTCACCTTTAAAAATCTCAGGTGCTTCTTTTAATAAATTCAAAAGCAGCACCTGTTTGAAGCATGAGAATGGATTCACCTGCAGCTCCTGAGGCAGGCTGTCCTTAAGTGGCTGATAAGGATGTTTATCTGCAATTTACCTCAGCAGTTCAAATTTTTATGGAACTATTCAAAAGTTATCTCATGTACAAGTAGTCCCTGTAAAAACTCAGGTGCTTTCTGATGAACTCCATCTGTTGTTTTGCTGTGGAAGCACCCAGAATGTATTAAACATTTTACACATCTACTGAAAAAAATCTCCTTTTTAATGTTTTTTTCCATAAGAATCTATTAATCACAAGGATATCTTGTCATGGCACAAAAATAACTTTAGAAGGACTGTTACTTTTCTGCATTCTTACTTAAAAGACAGCCTGGGAGGAAAATTACCCACTCAGAATAGATAAACTTCTCTTTTCCTGATATAGAAGTTTTCTGGACCTTGGTTTAATGTTAGCTATTCATGTGGTTTATGCTCTTAAATACAATTTTAAGAGCCTCAGAAATTTTTAGAAGAAGTTAAAGTGATTCAGTGTTCTGTTTGGATTACACAGGTTCAGTAATTAGTAATCACATGACTAAATAAAATTATGATATTCTGGGGAGCTGGGACATTGTCCTTGACATACCAGAGTTCAATGTTTTATGGTGGCACTGCATGTTAATGGTGTGGGATTAGAGAAAACTGCTTTTAAAGTGCTTTAAAATTCACAGACTGGTTATCAGAAAGATGCCTGGAAAACACTTTAATTTCATGGAAGTGCTTTTGAATGCTCTTGGACAACTGAGAACAGGACTCTAAACTATCAGACAGCAAGCCCAGTTGTCTCCATGCTGCTGCCAAAACCTCCAGCTCTTCTTTTCCTTCATTTTCTCCATTGTATTTATATCCAGACATGCAGTAGATAGGAGTTATGCAGATTAAACTACATTTCTGAAGTATTAATAAACAAAGGTTATGAATCCTGCATATTAAACTCATATAGTCCATATTTTGGCTTGGTGTGTTACAGAAGTTGGGTTCTGACAGTTGCACACACTCTTTTCATGTTGGTTCTCCAGTTCCTCCAGTATCTCCTGATTCTCTTGGTGAATTTACATCAGGGGTGTGGTACAATTAAATATTTCAGGTTCCTGAAAATAGGTGAGCAGGTAAGAGACCACTGAGGGAAATCTACATGTGTGTATCCCTTAGAAAAAGTGATGTTCACTTAAGTGACTTTCCAGTAATTCCTCTGAAAAATGAATTATCTCTTTATGAAGCTGTCAGCATGTATTTGATAAAACAACATGAGGAAATTAGAATTCAGCTGTTTGAATTTATCTGGTTAGTAAATGAAAAGTTTATAGAGTATTAGAACACAAAAATTATGTTATGGCCTTTGCTGCTTACTGCTTGTCTTTCACTCTGCTTTGTCTCTTAATTTGGTAAATGGTAAATATCAAACAAGGGAGATTTCAAGTTACAACTAAAACTTCCAAGGGCATCAGCAAATTGTGCAGGGAAGTACTTTATGTGCATTTGGTAAGTATTTAGGATATCGAGGAATTTGTTGGGGTTTTGTTGTTTGCTGTGTTTTTATTTTTTAAATCCAACCATAACCCTCCCCTGTCTCTCCCAGGTTATAAAATTGTACTTAATGGCATTGTGCTTTCAAATTTGTCATAAAAGTGTAATGAATCTGGTGATCAATAGCAAACTGTTGCATTCTTTCAGTACTGAAGAAGTAATTTAATAGCTGAGGTTTACAAAGTCAATTCTCCTCTCAGTATAAATATCAATTATCTGTTACATTTAATGATTCTCTCTCCCATTTCACAAACACTTGTGTGCTCAGCTTTGCAGGGGAATAATCAGTGATTACAGAGGGACCTGTGCATCTGAGCTAAGCTGGTGTGTGAGTTTGCAAAGCCTGGTGCAGCTAATCCAGAACTGTGAGGCATTTCCCAGGGTTTTTCTATCCCGTGGGACATCACCTTTCTTCTGTCTCAGGTTGCTGCACTGGATGCTCAGGGCTGCTCAGTTTTTAGCAGGTTCTTTGATCAGAATTCCCTCAGCCACTCCTGGTGCTCCAGCCCCTCAAGGTCCAGAGCTGGACAGAGGATTGGAGGTGCCCCAGGAGTGCCTGGTGCTTTGCCCTGGGACAGTCCAGGTGCCCTTGGCCTTCTGGCACACCTGGGCACACCTGGGCTGGTGAGCAGCTGCTGTCACCAGCACCTCCAGAGCCTTGTCCACCTTGTGCAGCCACTCCTCCCCAGGCCTTCAGCGTTCCCTGGGGTGGTGGTGGCAGGGTAGGACACAGCACTTTGCCTTTGGGATGTTCTGTTCCAGAATTTTGCCTGGCACTGAGGTCAGACTGACAGGCCAGCATTTCTCTGGAACTTCCTTCCAGCCCAGCATTTCCCTGGATCCTCCTTCTCCAGCCCAGCATTTCCCTGGATCCTCCTTCTCCAGCCCAGCATTTCCCTGGATCCTCCTTCTCCAGCCCAGCATTTCCCTGGATCCTCCTTCTCCAGCCCAGCTCTTAGATGGGAACCACAATTGCTGGCTTCAGTCCCCTGGGTAAGGAGGGTCCAGGACCTCCCTGCTGGGAAAGGGTGGGAAGTGTCTGGGTGAGCTCTGCCCTGCTCCCTCAGCACCCTGGGGTGGATCCCATCCCACCCCATGGAACTGTGTGTCCCAAGGGCTGCAGCAGGATGCCAACCTTTTCTCCTTGGATCACGGGGACTTCATTCTGTTCCCTGGCCCTGTTTTCCAGCCTGGGTACCCCGAGGACGATTCCTTCAGCCTTTTCCTCATCTTTTGTCACTGTTTCTCCCTGATCCATTAAAGATGGAGATTCTCCTTAGCAGTCCTTTTGTTGCTGAATCTTTAATTCTCTTTTTGGCAGCAGCCAGATTAAGTTCTGAGAGGAGTTTTGGTTGGAGAGTGTGGTTGGTTGGTGTGTTTGGGAATCTCAGAGCAAGCCTGGAATCACTGATTGATTTGAACCTGTGCTGTGCTAGGTGTGATCTTATCACCCTCACTGTCCTGCTTCATCTGCTGCAAAGGATCATTTTTAGTTTAGTTGCTGTAGAGCTTTTTAATCTTCCTGAAAGGGAATTTATACAGGTTGTGGGCAGAGTGACTTAAACCAGCAGCTGCAGATGTGATTTATAGAGGCACAGTTTGGTTCAGGAGCAGCTCTTTATTAATCTGTGAAGGAAGCAAAGGTACACTACACAGAGAAGTGCCCCTGTTCCATGCACTCTCCACTTTCCCCACGCTGCTGCCCAGGCTGAAGCCAGGAGATGGCAGAATATCAAGGATTGATTAAGTGCAACCTGAGCTGGGAGCTGAAGGTGGCTGCGAGCAGCTCCCCTTTGTGCTGCCTGACATCAGATAATTCAATCTGGCCTGCACGCAGAGCTTCTTGTGTTTGTCATTAAAATTTCATCCCGGTGGTTACGAGGCTTGTTTTCTGGGTCAGCCCCTGAATCCCTTTTCATTTGAGCCAGTGGTGTTTGTGGTTACCTCACTCCCAATCAATGTTGTATTCGCCAGCCTTTCTACAGTTACACGTCTCGAAGGATCTTCTCTGGAGGGATGATGTTCTCCCCCTCATCCTCGACTCAAATGGAGTTTCAGCCCTAAGTCAGAGCTTACTTAAAGCAATTAGGTAGCTGCTTGCTTGGCTTTTAGAAATTCCTACTGGTGATGAGGCTGGCTCACTAATGCTGTCATTTACTGTGCAGAATGCCTGGATTGCTTCACTTTCTCATACTAAAATCTGGATTTATCTGGGTTTTTATTTAAGCAAATGCATGTTCAGACAGTAAAATTGCTACTTTCTTGCTACTTTTTTTTTTTTTTTTTTTTTTTTGGCAGCACAGTCAGAAGTTGTGTCCTCCTGGCCAGAGTGATCTCAGAACATGCATCTGGTCCTTGTTTGACCTTGTCACTCCAGAGGATCCCGTGGTGTGACATGCCCGTGGCACGTTGTGGGACTGTTGCTGCCTGACTGGCTCTGAAATACTCACCTGTGGCTGTTCTTGAGCCCTGTGGTGCCCTTGTGTGCCCTTGCCTTGTGGTGGTGGTGCCCACCTCACCTCAGGTTCACCCCTAAAACCACACCAAGTGGGCTTGGATGTGTTCATTTTTTAATGCTTGCAGAAAAACTGGCTTCGCTGCTGCTGCTGCTGGTTCTGAAAATAAACAGAAGAGGCCCAGAGTCACACCACCCTTCCCAAGACCCAGAACTATAAAGTATCATCTTTTCCTTCCTTCTTCAGTTTTCCATGACTGAGTGGTGCCTGTTAGTGGAGAGCTTGGCCACAAACTGATTTAGCAGATGCTGTGAGGAGTCCCTGCACCTCTTACAGACTGGGAAATCAGCCCTGGGTTCTCTTGAAATTTTAATTTCAGATGTTTTCCTCCTTCCCCACTAAGTACTGGCAGCTTTCTTTGAGATTTAAGGAGTTAGGGCTGGTGAGATTCATCTGCTGATTGCTTTGATAAACCAACAGTTTC